GACTAAAAAAATGTTTATTCTGGTTCACCTGAACGATTTAATGTAAATGTTTATACTGCATGAAATAGTTATTTCATGGGGAAAGTTAAAAATGCACACCACACAACAGCTTATTTCTTAGAAGTGATTCTCAGTACTACTACTAAACCAATATCAGTACAACTGACAGAGTTACTTTTAATTTACTTTTTAACACATTTTGAGAGCCAGCAGACTGCATGAGGTCTTTGACATGGAGTTAGTCCTGTTTGTTAGCAAAATCTTTCATGAACCAAAGGATGGATTTTATCAAGCTCAGCTAATATTCATTTAACATACCATTGTTCATGTGAACCTGATTCAAAATGTCCAACACAGCTAATCAGCCTTAGCAAACACAAACATGGGCTAAATCCTTGTCACCTTTAAAGATATTGAGCTAAAATTTGGTGTGGTAGCTGGCAATCAACAAAACTACAACTTGGTCTTCTCTCAGCATAAGATGATCTTCATGTTTCTGAGGTTAGAACCCAAGAATGCAGACTGATGCAAGAAATTTGAGATGGAAAATTTCAATTTATTCAAATAAAACAGACTGTCTTGGCAGCAACAAGCTACATAACTCAAGGAGAACATAAAGGAGCACTGGATGTGCCATCTCCATCTTCTATCGTTTGTCCATAGTAAGGTTGCAGAGGCAACAGGTCCAGAAGAAAAACCCAGACCTCCCTCTCCCCAAAGACGCTCCCCAGCTTCTCTTAGGCGATCCCAAGGTGTTCCCAGGCCAGAGAAGATACATAATCCCTCTAGCAAGTTCTGGGTCTTCCCTGGGACCTCCTACCAGTGGGACGTGTCCGAATAAACTCTAAAGGGATGCATCAAATCAGATGCATGAACCACCTTAACCGACTACTTTCGGTGCAGAGGAGCCGTTCTACGCTGAGCTTCCTCCAGATGATGGAGTTCCTCACCCTATCTTCATGGCTGAGCCCGGCTAACCTGTAAAGGAAGCTCATTTCATCCACTTGTAAGCAGGATCTTGTTCTTTCAGTCATGATCCAAACCTCATGACCACAGGTGAGGGTTGGAACGTAGCCAGACCAGTAAATCGAGAGCTTTGCCTTTCACCGCAACTCTTTCTTCTCCACAACCGACCAAAGCAACAACCTTAATACTGAAGATGAGGATCCAATTTCTTGATCCATCTATCGTTCCATCCTACCATCGCTCAGGAACAAGATGCCCAGATACCAAAACTCTTCCACCTAAGGTAACGGCTCCTTGCCAACCCAGAGGGGGCATTCCACCCATTTCCTGTTGAGATCCATGGCCTCAGACATAGAGGAACCGACTGATGTGCCACGAAGCACACACAATGGTGAACTAATGAGTGAGGTGAAACTAAAGGGACTATAAGGACTGGTGCTGATGTGAAGATTGGAGACAGCTGAGCTCAATGAGACAGGGGACATATGAGCAGGTGTGGGAAGACTGAGGAGCAAGAGCTGAACTGAGGAAAAGTACTGGGGAAAAAACGAGCTTATGGAACTGAAAATAATTATGGATGGACTCAATTTAAAACAATCGTTTTGTTTTTATAAAAGTATGGAGCACAGGAACCAAAAAGACTTGAGGACACAATGGATTAAAAGTAAGGAGGCTGGGACAGTGTGTGGGACGATTGGTGAGAGACAAAAGATGGAGGATGTTAGTTTTATGGCTAATTTAGATGAAAGAATGAATATTTACTCTGTGGTTGTTGGTTTTCAGGCTCAGAGAGGAAGGCAGGAGGAGATGGCAGAGTAGATTTCCAGGATGCAGGTTGATGGTTCATCAGAGAGTGAGAGATTGGACACGGTGATTAGGCTGAATCAGAAATCTCGGGTTTTAGTTTCCGAATCCAGGACTGGGACGTTCAGGAGGAGCTGAATCCAAACTGAGGATGAGATGTTACAAAGGAATAAGGAACTCGGATGCATTTTCATTCATTCATTCATTCATTCAACCTTCATTTATACAGAAAAATCGCATTGAGCCTCGAAGACTCATTTACAAGTGAGATCTGTGTAGACGGACAAAAAAGTACTGAAAGTGTACACATGTAGGAATTGGAGGCAAAAAAAATCCTATCAAACTCTTTCTTCTTGGCTGAGAAGAAAGACCC